TCATCGGTGAAAACCTTTGACATGTATCACATTTTCGAACGAACTCCTTAGTGTCCTTCTCCATGCTATCCCAGAAGTACCCTGCTCTGATGATTTTGCGAATTAATGGTTCGGCGCCGGAGTGGTTTCCACAAATGCCTTCATGGACCTCTCATAAAACATAATCGGTGTCTCCTGGTCCCAAGCATACTGCTAGTGGTCCTTCGAACGTCCTTCTGTATAATGTTCCATCTTCAACCAACGTGAATCGAGCAGCCTTGGTTCGTAGAACCCTCGATTCTTTAGGGTTCGATGGGAGTTTTCCGTTCTTTAAGTATTCAATATACATATTCCTCTAATCCCAAGTTAAGCTCGTGGAATTTATCTCGGCATGCCCCTCCTCGATTATAGATCTCGAGAGTTGAACGACAATCCCCGAGTTAATCTTATCTTCCTCGACAGACGACCCCAAATTTGTGAGTGTGTCGGCCTCACTGTTTTGTTCTCGAGGCACATGTTGTAGGGTCTATTCTTTGAAACAGTGTAGAGTTACCTGTAATTTGTCCAAATAACTTTGCATCCAATCTTCTCGAACCTCGAAAGTTTTATTTACTTGGTTCACCACTAGTAAAGAGTCACATTTGGCTTCAATGACTTCTTCTCCCAGGCTTTTAGCTAGCTCGAGACCTGCAATCATGGCCTCGTACTCGGCCTCATTGTTAGTTAATCTAGTGGTTTTGATGATTGCCTAATAATGCCACCTGTGGGAGGTTTCAGTATGATGCCAAGCCCGGACCCTTTCACATTTGAAACACCATCTATGTAGAGGGTCCAAACCTCCGACGACGTACCCGATTTTAATAAGAGTTCCTTTTCAACTTCGGGTACGAGGGTTGGCGTGAAATCGGCCACGAAGTCTGCTAAAATTTGAGACTTGATAGTCGTACGGGGTTGATATTCGATATCGTACCCACTGAGTTCGACGGCCCATTTGTCCAATCGACCTAATAGTTCCGGCTTGTGCAAAATATTACGAAGTGGGTAAGTGGTTAAAATGCATATGGGGTGACATTGAAAGTATGGTCTTAACTTTCTAGAGGCGCTTATTAGTGCAAGTGCCAATTTCTCTAAGACTTACATAATAAATAGGAAACTGTGTACCTTGCTCTTCTCGAACTAGGACGCCCCTTAGTGCGATTTTCGATACCGCCAAGTATAAGTAAAGCTTCTCATCTATCTTCGGAGTGTGAAGTAGTGGTGGGCTCGATATGTACCGCTTCAATTGTTCTAGTGCCTGTTGGCATTTCGGGGTCCAAGTGAAATCGTTTTTCTTTTTGAGTAGGGAGAAGAATTTGTGGCTTCGATCTGATGACCTCGAAATGAATCGGCCTAAGGCAGCTATCCGTCTGGTTAGCCTTTGCACTGCTTTCACACTATCCACGACGGTGATATCTTCAATGGCTTTAATTTTGTCGGGGTTGATCTCGATTCCCCTATTCGATACCATGAAACCAAGGAACTTGCATGATCCAACCCCGAAAGCATATTTCTTGGGGTTGCGCTTCATGTTGTATTTCCTTAAGATTTTAAACGTTTCCTGCAAATGAGTCAAATGGTCCTCTGCGCGCAGGGACTTAACTAGCATGTCATCAATGTAAACTTCCATCGACTTACCTATTTGTTCTTCGAACATTTTATTCATTAGGCGTTGGTATGTAGCTCCTGCGTTTTTTAGCCCGAATGACATTGCATTATAGCAATAGGTTCCATACTTGGTGATAAATGAAGTCTTTTCCTGGTCCTCCAGGTTCATTCGAATTTGATTGTACCCGGAATAGGCGTCGAGAAAAGTAAGGATCTCGTGGTCGGTTGTGGCATCGATCATGCGATCGATGCTAGGTAGTGGAAAAGAATCTTTTGGGCATTCTTTGTTTAGATATTTATAATCTACGCACATTCTAAATTTGTTCCCCTTTTTAGGGACTACAACTACGTTGGCTAACCACTCGGGCTATTTTACTTCCCGAATTGACCCTACTTTGAGACGTTTAGTTACCTCATCCTTTACAAATGCGTGTTTTATCTCGGACTGAGATCTTCCTTTTTGTTTCACCAGTTTGAACCTAGGGTCCAAGCTCAGCTGGTGCATTGTTATCGACGGTGGGATCCCTGCCATGTCTAAATGGGACCGAGCAAAACAATCTATGTTATCGATAAGAAATTAAATAAGTTTTTTCCTGAGTTCGGGGGTCAATCCCGTTCACAGGTATACCTTTCTCTCGGGCAGATATTTGATTAATATAACCTGCTCCAGTTATTCGATCATAGATTTGGTGGCGTCGGAGTCGTCGGGGACGATAAAAGTTCGAGGTGTCAGAAACTCTCCCTCGTCATCCTCTATTTCCCGCTTCACCGATTCAGTCGAGACTGCTAGTTGTGATTGCTATTTGGTTTCTCGTCTATCTTTAGTGCTCGATCTTTCCGAGGCCAATAACGTTGGTATCGGTGTTACCTCATCGACCGCAAACATTTCCTTCGCAGCATGTTGCTCCCCGTATACTGTTTTCACGCCGTCCGACGTAGGGAATTTCATTACTTGGTGGAGGGTCGAAGGCACTGCCCTCATATTGTGGATCCAAGATCTTCCGAGTAGGGCATTATATCTCATGTCGCCTTCGATTACGTGGAACTTGGTATTTTGGATGGTTCCAGCCACATTCACGGGTAGAATAATTTTACCTTTAGTCGTTTCACTAGCCATGTTGAAGTCTTTCAATACCCGAGCTGCTGGTACGACTTGATTCGGCAAACCGTGCTACTCCACTACCCAAGATCAGATGATATTCGCAGAGCTACCTGGATCCACTAGAACACGCTTAACTTGAACTTTATTTACTAGGATAGAAATTACCAGAGCGTCGTTGTGAGGGTGAGAAATGCCTTTCGCTTCTTCGATTTCGAATGATAAAGTGCCTTCGGGTACATGACCTCGAGTCCGCTTCTCCCTTGTGGCCGGTACCTTGACGCGTTTGAGTACAGGTCCATGTAGAGTATCGACCCCACCGATGATCATATGGATGATATGTTGAGGTTTCTCTTGTTTATCTTTTCTGTTGGCGTCCCTTTCTCTGAAGTAATTCTTGGCTCGGTCACTGAGGAACTCATGAAGGTGGCCTTCATTGAATAGACGGGCTACCTCCTCTCTTAATTGTCTGCAATCATCGGTCATGTGGCCATGTGTACCATGATATTTGCACATTGAATTTGGATTCCTTTAGGAGGGAACGGTTTGCATGGGTCGGGGCCATCTAGTATCTTTGATTCTTCCGATCGTCGATATAATGTCCGATGCATCGACGCTAAAATTGTACTCCGATAGCCGATGTGCCTCTATAGGATCGGCATATTTGTCAAAGCCACTCTTGCTCATAAGCCCCCGTGAATTTTGTCCTCGATCACTCCTTCGATTGTTCCGGGCGGCATTGCGTGTCGAACCGTTATTCATCCGATCCGTGATGTATGGTTGATATCGGTCTCTGTTAGACCTCTGCACTCTGTCGATGTCCCTCCGGTTTTTAATAGCCGACCCGTTCTGATGCAAGGGTCCGGAAGGAGCTCCTAATTGGTCGTCCTCGACCCTGATTTTTGACTAATATCGATTGTGTACATCTGCCCAAGTTATTGCCAGATACTCGGTCAAATTTTGCTTCAGCCGACGTGATGCTATTGAACTTTGCTCGTTCAACCCTTGGGTGAAAGCTTGGATGTCCCGGTCGTTTGTGACCGGTGGAAAATCCATGTGTTCCATTTGAAATCAGGACACGAACTCCCTTAGCATTTCGTTATCCCTTTGCCTTACTTTGAAAAGATCTGATTTTTTTGTTGTAACCTTTATGGCACCAGCGTGTGCCTTCAAAAACGAATCTGCTAACATTGCGAATGAGTCTATGAAATTTGGTGGCAGGTTGTGATACCAAATCATCGCCCTTTTAGAGAGGGTCTCTCCGAAAATATTTTCAATAAAACGGATTCGATTTCATCATCCTCTAGATCGTTGCCTTTGATGGCACATGTGTAAGAGGTGACGTGTTCGTTGGGATCGGTCGTACCGTTATACTTGTGGATTTCGGGCATACAAAATTTTTTGGGGATTGGTTTTGGGGTTGCACTCGAGGGGAAAGGTTTTTGTACGGATTTTTTGGAATCCAACCCTTTTATCATTGGCGGAGCCCCTGGGATCTGATCGACCCTGGAATGACATATTTCTACTTTTTTATCGTTGGCTTCGATTCTCTTTGTGAACTCCTAAAGTATTTTAGCAATTTCGGGAGTAGTCCCCGATTCTTGCTCGTTTGACCTTATGACTGGCTCCGTTCTGTGGGCAATTTCTCGAGGTTGACTGGGCTCTGGCCTACTCGGTAGCTGGGTTTGGCTCTGCAACTGAGCTATCACTACTTGTTGGGCTTGTAACATTTCAAAGATCATACGCAAGCTGACTCCGATCTCCTCCACGTTATGGGTGTCTTGAGCTACATATCGAGTACCGCCATGAATACTTCTTTCCGGTTCAGAACGTTGGTTCGCCTCAAGGGCCACATGTGAATTGACATCTAGTGGCACTTCGGCTCGAATTTCAGGTACTTCGATTCAAGCTTCGGCGACATCGTCAAGTGGCCTTCCGGCCCTGGGTATCAAGTTGTTGGTTTCATCTTGAAGGCCAGCTCCATTGTCGATAGGTAAAGCCATCAATCGAGGGTTTGTTATTGTTGATTCGAAGTCGAAGATACTCTTAAAAGACGGTCGTCAACTGGTGTGTGTTGCAGATTTGTATCAAACAACCACTGTTATCCTTAGCCCCACGGAAGGCGCCAAACTGTTTACCCGAAAAATCGGATAGAGTTAAATTTGTGTATGGTTCTAAGGATATGTGATATAATTTGATACAAACCGTATAGAGAAATAGAAATACTTATGTTCTTGACTATGAGAATGAGAATAGTGAGCAAGAAGAATGAATAAGATAAAGTAAAACAAGCACAAGGAGATATCGTTCAATATGAGAAGTAATCTTTTGTTACAATGTGTCCATGCCTTATGCTTACCATAATCCTCCCTTTATAGTAGATGGATCTTACTTTATATATAATAAAAAATATGTAGTGGAGAGCCCATGATGTATTGTCTTTTTCCTAATTCCCGCCGGGATTCTCTCCCTTAGTGCGGTTGTAACGGCCTTGTCTGTGAGCTCGATACTGACTCGAACTCGATATCGGGTCGAGTCATCAGCCTTGACTCGAGCTCGATCCTGACTCGGTGTCTTGATATTCGGGGTGGGTGTCGGTCAGTCTGTGCATCTCTGACAACCTTTTGCCTCGTGGTTCGATTTGGTCGTGGTCCCGATAATGATACCGAACTGATCTTTGATCGGTCTTGGAGCTCGAATCCTGAAGCCTTTTCTTCGGACCTCGACCTGACCTTACGTAGATACCTTTCGATCGAAATATTGTTATCTCGACCAGTCCATACGACTGACTTAATAGGTTTCGACCGTATACACTACTCATACTCATAGTAACAATATCCAAAATATTTTGCATAATTAAATTACAAAGTAAGGATAAAGGGATGTAGAAATCGATGATTCTTACTCCCAACAATTGTTCCACGAGCTATCCTTGCCTCCGGTTGCAAAAGTCCTTCAAAAGTGGCGTTTTAGGTCTATTTATATGTTTAGGAAAAGACCTAAACGCGTAGGCCAAGTCCTAGTTAAACCAGGAGACGAAATAAGCCTTCATAGCTCGGAATGTGCGCTCCTCAGACCTGGCCTCGCGAGGTATAACGCCAGCTCGAGCTCGCCTCAGGCCTGGCTTCGCCAGCTTCAATGCTCGGTGGATCTCGCCTTCTACCTCGTCTCGCCAGCTCTCACGCGAGCTAAAGGGCTCGCCCAGCCTGCTCTAACGCCTGCTCTAGGCCTGGCTTCGTCAGCTTTTCATTTGTCGGTTGCTCACTTCTTTCTTTCTTCTTTTCAACTGGTTTCGAGCACGCTTTAGACTTTAATTATTCTTTTTGCTCTACTTTCATTTCCAATGCACCTACACATAAAATAGACTCCATTACGCGCAAATAAAGTGTAATTTATCATTAAAGCATATAAAATGCAAAGCAAATAATGTACTAAACTATGGAATTATAGCCACACATCAATCGCTATATATCCTTGAGAAATATGAGCTCTCCTTCCTCAACTAAGTAATCTGTACTTGAAAGATATACCAGATTAATGGTCTAGCTAGTTATCAAAAATAATATACGAATAATAGCAAAGGACTAATAATTGTTAAAAAATTTATTAGTGACCCAGTAGAACTTTACCACAATAAGCTAAAAGTATGTAACATAGAATGAATTTCAATTATTTATTAGGAGCAAGATTTGATATCTTTGGATTAAATAGTTGATGATTGAATAGTGTGAAACTATCTTGTTTTACATAGAATGTACAACTATTCATGGTTAACCTGTTGTGAAGACATAACTTCATTAAGTTCATGAACTGCACGATGATACCTTTTATGTACTGTATGTTTAAGTATTAACATAAAATTATTTGTTAAGAGGAATTACAGATTAATGTAAAAGATTTAGCAGTAAACTTAGAAAACATGCCTCTTTTGGAGGTGCTGTTTCAAACTACAAATAATTGAAAATGTTGACTCCAGTCACAATGTTAATGCATATAACTTAGGGAAGGACTCACCCTCGGTAGATTGCTTTAATTGGTAAAGGGAACAACCAGAAAACCTTCAAATAGAAGACTTTTTAGTTTTTACTGTGATAAAGGACATTTTTTTAAATTTATCATGCTAAAAATTAGAAGCATATATCAAGAAGTTGTACAAGCTCCACAATGAAGGATCCTCAGTAAAGGGATACTGCTCGCTGCTCAACAGATTTCTCAAAAAAAGATAATCGTACGTCTTGAAGATGCAAATCTAAGAAGTATCATAGGAAAAAAATTTCATTGCTTAAAAAATGCAGTACAAGAAACAATAAAAAAGACTATTTTACCTCACTAGCAAATCCGTAATCATTGCAAAGTGGAAGTTACAATTGATAGCACATATCTGGCTGCCAAAAAAATATAGCTTCTTGTCAATGTTTTCAGACATCACATTGAGTGCAGATGTTGCTCTTGTGAACTAAATACCTGGAAAACAGAAACGGCACATCCTTAAATTGACAACTTAGAAACTGGTGGAAACAGAAAGAAAAAAGATTAATTTTCTACCTGCTGAAAGCTAGTCGACTCGCTATCCTAGTTGTGGGCGCCCTTTTACATCAAAAGTTTTGACTCTCAAAAACTTTAATTTATGCATTAAAATTTGTCACGACCCAAAATACGTTAGTCGTGATGGCACCTAACTCAACCCGCTAGGTAAGCCAATTAATAACTATCCAATTTCAATAATGTTAACAAGTCAATTAAACAGAATAAATTATCTGGATCTATTATATTTCTCAATGATTGGTAGTACAAATCATGAGCTACTAAGAATAGAATTTACAAAGCGGAAATGAAATAAACACATAGTCTGTTTGAAAACTACATAAACAGCACAATTTAATCTAAGGCTACCCAGAACAACAGAGGCAGCTACAACATGGGCGCGGGTACATCTTCAAATTCAGCAACCCTCGAACACAGCAACAACTGTAGCCAACATTTGCACGCAATGTGCAAAAGTGTAGTATCAGTACAATCGACCCCATGTACTGAGTAAGTAACAAACCTAACCTTAGGTTGAAAGCAGTGACGAGCTATCACAAGGTCGGGTCTCATACCGGAATTCTACAACAGTTCATAACAGCATAACACAAGAAGTAAAGGGGTATCTCCGAAGTAAAAATGCACAACTCGTTCATAGTTCCAGAAAATAGGCATGCTTTTCAAATATCTTAGTAGAAATTCAATTCTTTTGCCGAAGATGCCAAAAATACGGGTAAGTTTGAAAAATATAATTTTTCCAAAATCCTTTCAACAATGAGTGAGAAGTTTCATTTTCTTTCCAAATAACAAGTATAAAATCCCTCTCTATGCCCACATATCAATGTGTGTAAAAATCATGAATGACGTGATACCGTACAGAAAAATGCATCTCTATGCATGTATGTCATGTATGCATGCCAATGCCATGTACCCCAGAGATGAATCATGTACTCACACTCTCAGAGTACTCAATCTCACTATCTCACTTTTTTCACTCATCAATGCTCAACTACTCGGTACTGTATATGGCCCATACGGCCTAGGGAAGATCCATCCCGGAGTATATACATCACTGATCATCAATCATTCGGTACCGAGGAAGGCCAATCCAGCCCCATGGAGAAGATCAATCTCCAAGTATATAATGTTTCGGACAAGATCCATGTTCAGGGAAGATCCAACCCTCAATATAATCAATCGCGCTCACTGGGGGTGTATATAGACTCCGGAGGGGCTCCTACAGCCCAAGCGCTATCATAAGTGGGATCCAGGTATAAATCAATATAACATGCTGTGACGTGCAGCCCGATCCCATAACTGTCACTCACAATCAGGCTCTCAGCCTCACTCAACCATCCATCTCTCCAGTCTCACTCTCGGGCTCATAATGTCATGAAACTAGCCCGACTACAATGATATGATGTATCAATAAACACTGAGACTAAGATATGATATGAATGCATGAATATGACTGAGTACAAAATCAGTGAGATGACAGCAAGAAACGACCACTATGGGTCCTAACAATATCAGCATAAAAGCCTAAACATGATATTTAGCATGATTGACAGCTCAGATACTTTATCACATGGTGGAAACACAAATATCAACAAAATAGGGCCGTTATACAGTGCCATGGAAACAACCGAGTCCCTATTAACAGGGTGCACGCCCACACGCCCGTCACCTAGCATGTGCGTCACCTCAATACCAATCACATAACACGAAATGCGGGGTTACATACCCTCAGCACTAAGTTTAGAAGAGTTACTTACCTCGAACGAGCCGATACCAATGCCGAGCAAGCCAAGCGATGCTCCAAAGATGCCATCTCGCGTGTTCCGACCTCCAAACGGCTCGAAACTGACCAACAACAATTCAAATACATCAAACAATGCTAAAGGAACCAATCCCGATCATAAAAGATCGAATCTTGAATCAAAGCCCGAAACCGGCCCAAAAGCCCAACCCGGGCCCGCACCTCGGAACCCGACAAAACTCACAAAATCCGATAACTCATTCAATTACGAGTTCAACCATACTAGTTTCACTCAAATCCGACTCTAATTCGATGTTCAAAACTCAAAAATTCATATTATGAAACTTTAGGCCAAAACCCCCAATTTCCTCCTTAGCAATCATCAACCAAAAGCTAAAATCGATGATAGATTCATGGAATATAATCAAAACCGAGTAGTAAGCACTTACCCCAATCCTTGTGATGAAATTTGCTCCAAAATTGCCCCAATCCGAGCTTGGAAATGTCAAAATGAAGCCAAAATCACGAACCCTTGTATTTATCCTTCTGCCCAACACTTCCGCATTTGCGGTCAAATTGTCGCATCTACGACCACCGCATCTGCGGTCATATCCTCGCTTCTGCGACCACACTCACCAGCCGACCCTCTCGCACCTGCGGAACAATTTCCGCTCTTGCGCACCCGCATGTGCGATTTTTCCTCCGCATCTGCGATGAGCTCCATCCATGACTTCTTGTGCATCTGCGACACATGGCTCGCACCTGCGCAATACCGATCGCAGGTGCGGAACACCAGAACCAGCAGCTGACATACTGAAGAAAATGGTCCGAAATCAATCTGAAACACGCCCGAGCCCATCGGGACCCCGTCCAATCATACCCACAAGTCACATAACATAACACGGACCTACTCAAGGCTTCAAAACACACATAACAACATCGAAGCGACGAATCACACCTCAATTCAAATCCAATGAACTTTGAACTTTCAAATTTCCAAAACACGCGTTGAAACATATTAAATCATCCCGGAATGAACTCAAAATTTGCACACAAGTCCCAAATGACATGATGAAGCTATTCCAACTCCTGGAACCATAATTTGAATCCGATATCTTCGAAGTCAATTTCCGGTCAAACTTATGAACTTCTCAAGCCTTCAAATCTCCAATTTTCGCCAATTAGTGTCGAAACCTTCTAGAAATATCCAAATGCAAATCCGGGCATACACCCGAGTCCAAAATCACTATCCGGAACTAACGGAACCATCAAAACTCCGTTCCGGGGTCAAATTCTTAAAAAGTCATATTTGGTCAACTCTTTCAACTCAAAGTCTCAACCATGAAACTCATTCTTCCATACCGATTCCGAATAACCTGAAAACCAAAATCGACGATTTACATAAGTCATAATACATCACACAGAGCTACTCACACCCGTAAACTACCGAGCAAAGTGCAAATGGTCAAAACGACCGGTCGAGTCGTTAAAAATCATTGTATTGAGTCTCTCAGAATCCAATTGTCACAATATCACTTCAATAATGTTATCTGATTGTTTAGTTATTGTTTCTTTTTTTATTTTTTTTATTATGGAGAAGGTAAGATAAAGTAAATCCATAATTTTGTAATGTATCTAAGGAAAAATAATCCTCTAAATTATTTGGAAGTAGAAATGTTTATTCACACTATACTTTTTTTCTTCCCTTCCCACCAAACAACTCCATTTTGAGGAATCCTCGAGAAACCACGGCGGAAACTGGAGATGAGTATACTTGCTACTACTATTATGTTAAAAGAATCATATAGAACATAATAATGCACAACAATTACTGGATGACTTTAATTGCTGTAAAAAAACTAAACAGATACCACTGAATCTAAAGAATTGGATCAGCTTCAACTATAGGGTATACTTGATTAAAGTACTATCATCAAGAAAATGGGCACTCAATACCTATAGGTATATTTTGTATGCATATAAATGAGAAAAGGCCCAAAACCATACATTATCTTTGGCTTTAGACTCAAAGTCATACATATTCTTTCACATGGAGCACTAATAGTCCATTTACTTTAATAAAGTGGTGCACTTTTAGTCATATCACTAGAAAAAGCCTAAAAACATACATTATCTTTGACTTTAGACTCAAAGTCATACATATTCTTCCACATGGAGCACTAATAGTCCATTTACTTTAACAAAGTGGTGCACTTTTAGTCATAACACTAAATATATTTTAATTTTTAACAGAAATCTAAGATCTGACAAAATATATGTTCCATTTATTTTCTTGTTTACCGAAAGAAAGAAAGATGACAGATTTATCTAGATAGTAAATAATAAATATACATAAAATTTACTTACTATTTATCTATTTACTATTTATTTACTATACGTAAAATATACATTTACTAAGAAATGTTAAACACCGTTAATTTTTATTTGCAATGATTGTTATCTAGATAACCTCAAATGTTATTTAAATTTTTTTATTATATACATAAAATTTATTTTTATTTTATGTATATTTACTATACGTTGACTCCCCTTAAAATAAAAAAAATCTAATAAATATATATTTATTTTATGTCAACGTATAGTAAATATTATGTATATAATAAAAAATCTAGATAATATTTGAGGTTATCTAGATAAAAATCATTGCAAATAAATTAACGATGTTTAACATTTCTTAGTAAAATGTATATTTAACGTATAGTAAATATTATGTATATAATAAAAAATCTAGATAATATTTGAGGTTATCTAGATAAAAATCATTGCAAATAAATTAACGATGTTTAACATTTCTTAGTAAAATGTATATTTAACGTATAGTAAATAAATAGTAAATAAATTCTTGATAAATCTGTCATCTTTATTTCTTTCGGTAAACAAGAAAATAAATGGTACAGATATTTTGTCAGATCTTAGATTTCTATTAAAAATTAAAATATGTTTAGTGTTATGACTAAAAGTGCACCACTTTGTTAAAGTAAATGGACTATTAGTGCTCCATGTGGAAGAATATGTATGACTTTGAGTCTAAAGCCAAAGATAATGTATGATTTTGGGCTTTTTCTCAGTGTTATGACTAAAAGTGCACCACTTTGTTAAAGTAAATGGACTATTAGTGCTCCACGCGAAAGAATATGTATGACTTTAAGTCTAAAGCCAAAGATAATGTATGATTTTGGGTTTTTTTTCGCATATAAATATAGCGTTTGTGAGTAATGCTCAAAAAGGGGGAAATCAATCGGAGTGTGGAACTACAAGGATAAAAGCGATGAAAAATTGTCACGAAATAAAAAGACAAAAGAGAGTAAAAAATGGGGAGTTTTTATTTTCAGAGAGAGAGATTTAGGTCAAACGAAAGCTTCATCGATTTTAGCCGCTTTTAGATATCTATCCCAAGAATAGATCACTTGCAGTACTTCTCACATACTTGCACCTGGGTATACATTTTCTAACATGCACGAGCAAAACAGAGAAATTAGTGACATACATGTAGAAAATCGAATAAAAAACAACCCAGAAACAACCCAAAAGTACAAACGGTAACAAAGAAAGTGAAATAATCAAGGAAATATTGCAGAAAAAATTGACCAAAATAAAAGGCTCATACTTTGAAAGATTACCTCTAAGGAAGAAACTGACGACGTGTGATAGATTCAGGAATAAGAAAAATAGAGGGATGCAATAGAGAAAGATAAGGAGAAAGAAGGAACAGTGAAGGAAAACTGTGTATAGAAAAGAAAAATGGGTATGAAAGCCAGTTCTCTGTATTGTTCTCTCCAAGTTCCAAGCCAACTGTGGTAAACATGTGTTGCCGAGAATGGAGAAATGAAAGGTACCAAAATGCCAATATAAAAGAACTTTATTATGAAACTACCCTTTAGCGTACTAAAAGTTTCACTTATTATACCGTTAAAGTGGGGTGGTTCTTGACCACGTGGAATCGAAAATAAATGGGTGAACTTAGTGCCTAAAATGTGTTTGATAAAATGCCTTCTTGAATAAGAAAATTGTGAAATTTGTTGCTTAGTTG